AATTTTGGATGATTTAGTCAACTTTGTAACACAGTGAAGTCAATCTCCTGCCAGCACAGCCTGCTCTCTGGCCCATTAGGAAAAAACAATGACCATGTATGGAAACACACACACACACACACACACACACACACACACCAACCCAGTCTCACGGCATTTCGTGTTCACCAACACGATTTTTAATCTATTGATTCGTGTTCACCAACACGATTTGCCCCTTTTTTTCGTGTTGCACAGCACGATTTTAAAAGCAATGTATTTCTACTGCCTGCAGCACGTCTTTTTCTCCGGTCGGGTCGAGGAAAACCGGAAGCTGTGTGGTTCATAAAAACATGTTCTTACTCAATATCAAGCAACAGTTATTGCTTTTATTTGAAATCGTATAATTTCGGACCTTTGTTGCCGTCTGTGAGGAAAATAAATGGGGCTCAGAGCCTCAGGATACTGAAATCTGTATTTTTAAAATATTTGTTTCCTTCTAATTTGTTATTCTTTTCAAAATAACACACTGTTATTTACTCACCAATAACACACAATTATCCTTGCTTTTATTTATTGGTTTAATTCCATAATCTCGGGCTTTTTTGGCGTCCGTCAGGAACTGAATTTCAAAATAAAAATAACCGGAAACAGACGTAGGCATTTCGAGCGATTACCCAAGATCCTCAGCTATGGTTTTAAGCTCGTTTATTGGATGTTTTAGCCGCAATGCATGCTGGGATTTGGTGTTTATATGATATGAAATCCGGAAAACATTTTAAAAGAATAAAATAATACTTAATTCCGAGCGCTCTTGCTTTTCTCTTTAAAAGTCATCACATAACGGCATTGTAATACACGGTTCGGCTGCATTAAATATTACAGATCTGCCGTAGTTCTTTATTTATAGAGCCCTGATGAGAAGACCTTTGGAAAAACTGAGAAAATGCCGCCGAAACTGAATACTTGACGTGGATCATAAATATATTCAACAATTAAACAACATCTTCAATTTCTCTTCACACAATACGTCTCCTTGCAGTATCAACACTAATTCGGCTGACTTTTACATTTGATCTAATTCACAGATAGGTTATATTTACACCATAACGGTGCACAGCTGATATAAAAGGACTGTAGTTTTTAAAGATATTATTGATTTTCTTTGAATGTAAGAATGTAAATACTGAGTCTGAAATAGTATAGCAATATGCTGTAAAATTATGTGAAAGCATGAATAAAACTACACATCTTCAGATGTTGTACGAAAACATAAGTGTCCTACACTAAGTTATTATGGCTGTGTGTACCTTGTGTGCACCTCCTAGTGGTTAAAGCACGTTATTGAATTATTGTGTTTTATTTGATTAAAAAAATATTAAGAGTACATACTTTCATAGGAGGAAAGTATAAATATTAGGGCCGGGACTCGATTAAAAAAATTAATCTAATTAATTAGAGGCTTTGTAATTAATTAATCGAAATTAATCGCATTTTTAATCACATGTAAATATTTGACCTGAGAACAGTGAGAAGCAATTTTTTTCACATGGATTTTAGTATACCATTAGGCGCATTCACACCGCAGTACTTTTCCCACAAAGGTTCATGAGAACTTATTTCATGAGAACTCTTTGAACCTGGAGGTGGATTAGGCAAATGAAGCCACTGACGTCACTTCTTCTTCTTCTGCTTTGGGTTTATTGGCAGGCCGCAAACCACTTCACGGCGTATACTGCCGCCCAAAGTCCCCGGAGTTGGGGACTGGCTTCAGTAGAAGCTGCTGGGAGTCCCAGCAGCCTTCCGAGTAAATCGCCAGAACGCCGACACCTCCTCATCTCCACCGCTCCCATGTTTTATTTTGTGTTGCCATAAATTAGTCTCTCTGCGTTTCTGCGCTGGGCTAATGCTAATAATGCTAATGCGAGGATAATAAAATTCACAAAACGTTTTGGGAGTTTTACGGGGCGTGGTTTGCAATCCGCCCAGCCAATCAGAAATATAGCTCTTTTCTCACAAGAGAAAAAAGTCCCTGCTCTCTAGCAGGGACTTTCGTGGGGGTAAAAAGGTTCTCATGAACACATTTTAGTACCGGCTCTTTTTGGTGTGAACGCGATAAAAGAGGCTAACGTCCACGCTAGCTGCTATATGTTTTGCATTGAGGTGATACTTGAGGCTTGATGTGCTGCGGTGATATGCGAATTCCTTTTTGCATAATTTGCACACAACCGTGCTCTTATCGACGCTTCCATCCGTCCGTTTTTTAAAACAACATTTCCCACTGTTGTTCACTGTGGTTTGTTGTTGTCCGAAGTCATGAACGTTAGTTGGTGCTCCAGTATAATCGGTACGCCTGAAACTCATCCAGTGAGAAACGTTCCGCGGTGCAAAAATAAGTGCGATTAAAATGCGTTAATTTTTTTAACGCGTTAATTTTTGTGTAATTAATTAATCTTAATTAACGCGTTAAAGTCCCGGCCCTAATAAATATAGAATATAAAAAATCAAGAAGATACTATAAGTGATCTCTACAATAAAACAGTTTAGTGCAGAATGTACAAAGATATTAATAGGAGGAGGTGCAAAACAGAAAAACGAATTAACCTTTATTTAAACATTAAATAACAGATTATGGTCTTCTTTTAAATAAGAAAAACACTTTGGGGGTATCTATCTACAGATAAATATTAAGCCTGACAAAGTACTTAACGTCTAATATATTGCTTTCCTGCAATGTTAACTATGTTGAAGCACTTATTTTAACTGATATTATACATATGAATTATACTCTTATGTATGTAGATATAATAAGAAATGTGCAGAATATGACAGTTTAATGGTGGAGGTACACACATATTGATAGATGTCTTGTAATGCACTGTTGAGGAACCTGTGACCCAAGTGTTTCATTCATTGCATAACTACACCGTAGTTGTGTATATGATATGTCAATAAACCTTTGAAAATCTTGAAAGGGATGTGCAAAATAGCCATAATATACAGTCTTTAATGAACTATTAGTAGAGAATAACGAGTAATGAATATACTTTATTACTCGTTTCCATTCATGTCAATTGCAGATACATGTTTAGTCTTCTCAAGCACCAACTATCAAATATCTTTCCTGATTGTTGGCACTTGACAATCACCTTACCTGCATTTTACTCAGGTGTAACTAAAGTCTGATTTAAGGGTTGTTTATATTTCACATAATTAATCAGAATCTGCGAAGTAACTCAAATAAATGCAGTGGAGTAAAAATACCAGGTTAACCTCTGAATTGTAGTGGAGTAGAATTACAAAGTAACAATGAGCTGTCATGTGGGTATTAATGCTGCGCATTATGAACACAAGCGATTTTCACCCATTTATTAATTATATGTTTTACATTTGATAACACCAATGTGTTTAATTCTTGCAACTTCTAATTGTGGGAATAACGAAAACGTTCAGTAGAGACGTCCCATAGAACATTTTGCGAAACACAATAGCCAGCATGTGTAGTTCTGGGGGGGTGTTCGATTCCAGTTTTGGATAGTCTGGCGTGGTTTCGTTTGACGCTCTGTGTAACCTTATGGGGACTGTAGTCCTAAACGATAGCTGGGGATTATGGGTAGTGTAGTGTCTTCGGCCATCCTAAACTCAGAAATGTTGACAACCGCAATGATGCTCGAAATGTCCCTTATAGGCCTACGTCTGTTTCCGGTTATTTTTATTTTGAAATTCAGTTCCTGACGGACGTCAAAAAAGCCCGATATTATGGAATTAAACCAATAAATAAAAGCAAGGATAATTGTGTGTTATTGGTGAGTAAATAACAGTGTGTTATTTTGAAAAGAATAACGAATTAGAAGGAAAAAAATATCTAAAAATACAGATTTCCGTATTCTGAGGCTCTGAGCCCCATTTATTTTCCTCACAGACGGCAACAAAAGTCAGAAATTATACGATTTAAAATAAAAGCAATAATTGTGGCTTGATATTGAGTAAGAACATGTTTTTATGAACCACACAGCTTCCGGTCTCCCACGACCCGACCGGAGAAAAAGACGTGCTGCAGGCAGTAGAAATACATTGCTTTTAAAATCGTGCTGTGCAACACGAAAAAAAGGGGCAAATCGTGTTGGTGAACACGAATCAATAGATTAAAAATCGTGTTGGTGAACACGAAATGCCGTGAGACTGGGTTGCACACACACACACACACACACACACACACACACACACACACACACACACACACACACACACACACACACACACACACACACACACACACACACACCATGTATATATCACTTTAGGGGACATTACATTGACTTACATGCATTTCCTGGAGACTTATCCTAACCTTAACCATAACCAACACATGCCTAACCCTAACCCTAACCCTTACCCTTAACCTTACCCTTACCCTAATCCTAAACCTAACCAAGTCTTCACCCTAACATTAATGATTCCCCTCATGGGGACCTCCAATTTGTCCCCATAAGGGAGGCGAGTCCCCACACGTGACTGTGTAAACAGATTTAGGTCCCCACAAGTATAGTAATGCTAGGCCCACACACACACACACACACACACACACACACACACACACACACACACACACACACACACACACACACACACACACACTCTAGATGTGTGTGTCCCCCTTATGTGCCCAATCCCCCCTTGTGAATCACACCTGGCACTCACAAACACAAACACACACAGAACAATTTGACATATTTCCCGCTCTTATGTGCCCATCCCCCCACATGGATCACACCTGGCACACGCAATACATGTTCAGTGTCTATTCTTTGTATATGTACTGCAGTTTTTTATATATACCAGTAGTCTGATACATTATTTACCGTTTTAAAGGGTGTTAAATGAAATTTGGTGATGATTAATGGTTTTTGTGTTAATGTAATCAGTTAAAACAGGACCGGTCAAATTTGACCGCGAACACCAAAGTAAGGGGGGGAAAACGAAGACAATAGAAAGGTTAAGAAATGTTCTGTATTTTGTAGGTTACCTGTCCAAAGTGTTGAGGAACTACAGCGAGGAGGCCTGTGACGGAGACTTTCTGTCCGTTCGCTGCCCGCCCCGCACCACCATCACTGTCCAATCAGCTTTCTACGGGAGGAAAGGAGCCTCCGACCCCAAACAGTGCCCTCAGAGCTACCAGGCCCTCTTTAGTTCTTATAACCCGCGGGATGATGACCGATATTGTTCTGTGTCCACAGCACTACAGGTAATAACTGAACTCACACTTTCCTCACAGTGTTTTGTATCAGAAACTGACAATTTTCTCATTTTATAGATTACTTTTCCTCATTTTTTTAAAGGACCTGTAGGCTAAATTAATCAGGTTTCTTAATTCCTCTCCAGTGTCTTCCATGTGTCCCTGACCTTTGCATTTGTTCAGCTTTCCTCCCTGGGTTAGTCCACTCTTCACACACTTTCATTTGTGCACAGTGGATCCTCCTGGGAAAAAGTGTCCTGTAAAGTGGTCAAATATGCCAAGGGTTTTATTTTGGAGGACCACAGTGATTATGCAATGCTTTGTGAGGATGTTTTCCGGCAAATTAAACTCTCTAAAGAGGAAGCATGCTTGTTCCCATGTGACAAAGCGATTTCATGGGGTCCTTGCCTTTGCATCCTCTCCTAAATTGGGATGCGACTGAAGTGAACCCTTGCTTTGCAGCACCAATACAAACATACACAAACACATCCTGTTCAGCATTCATTAGGTTGTTTGGTTTATTCTTAGTCCCCATGCCTTCTCGCGTCGAACACCCTCCGATTCTATAATAGCCAGGACAGCCATGAATGCACAGACACAGAGAGTGCATTGTGCCAAAGTGAGAGAATGACTGACTGCTGCGCCACCCCCATTAGCACAGCACTGAAGAAACCCATTGTGCCACCTGAGCATGACCCCGGGTCTGTTGGTACTACATGAATGTCTACATATACCATTTTAATCTGATGGTTTTTTTATTCATTATTTTATCTGTGAAATGTCCACAAATTAAAAAAAGTATATAGATAATTATCTTGACCATTAACCATTAACAGTTCCCAGAGCATAAGATGGCATTTTCAGAAATGGTCTTTTGTTGTTGTTTTTTTCCTTCATTTTTTTAGGAATACTACACCCACAGTAGGGCTGCTCGATTATGGCAAAAATCATAATCTCGATTATTTGGGTCAATAATTGATATCACGATTATTTAAAACGATTATCCATTTACTTTGAAAACATCAATTTATTGAAAATAAAAAAGTGAACAGTATGTTTTTAACAGTTGATTACCCTGAACTTTAAGTATAATTCAACTGAAAAACCAATAAAAAAAAATATTAAAAAAAATAATAATAACAAATACAAAAAGAAAAAATCGTTTTATTTCGATTACGTTGTTTTCATAATCGTTGCAAGCCAAAATCGTAATTGCGATTAAAATACGATTAATTGAGCAGCCCTAACCCACAGACTAACAATTAGTATTTAAAAAACTCACTATGTGGTACTAACCCTTACCCTTATTGGTGAAGAAAATATTTGTTTTCAGGGATACACTTTTGTACATAAAACAATCAAAAAACAGAGGAAATTCCTTATAAATTGGACTAAACCCGTCCACATGTACTTACTCCGTCTGAGTCAACAAGTCTGTGTCTTAAAAAGTATGGTTTTAGCCAGAATGCACCTGATCTGAGGTATTAAGCATTCGACTGGATGAAGGAGAACTGGATTATGCTGCACGATGTTGTGTGAAATACAAATGTTCATTTCAAAAAGTACTTCTTCAAGTATATTCCCCAAACAGCTGTAGACAGTAATGTTGATGCTTCTCAAAATACTTTTTGATTTGGTGATGTACAGTAGAGCGTAACTATTCAGCAGGTGTTTATGTGACTACAGTAGCTGTGTGTATTGTAGTGTGGGGAATAGGGGGGAACACACAAACATCCCTTATTTCTCCCTCTGCATTCCATGATCTAATGTACAAAATGCTTCTCCTTTCATGTTAAATTCGGGGGAGGGCTGTGAACAAAATCCATTGAGTCATTCCTCCAGCGAGTGGGATTTCAGTACCGGAGAGGTATTGTGTTGGAATGTGCTCATCTGGGATACAGCCGGCTAAAGATGATGAAACTGGAGAAGCAAAAGAATGCCAGGAAATGAGTGGAGTGGGGCTTTCTCTTTACCTGCTTCTCTCCTCCATATTCCCATGGCCATAAGCAGCCTGTTTGAAGTGGTTTTAGGTTTGCCTGCTGCTGGTCTAACCATCGTTGGCTTATTGTTCTCCCTCTAACCCTCTCTTTGGTCTTCCCCCGCTCTCTGTCACTCTTTCCCTCTTTAGAAAATGCTGGACGAGTGCCAAGACAGAAGGAGCTGTCAAGTCCTTGTCAACAGCCGCGTGTTCGGGACGGACCAGTGTCCCGGCAGCAGCAAATACCTCATTGTCTGGTACAAATGCAGACCTAGTAAGTCCCTCAGCACCTCCCATCTTGACAGTGACTCACACGGCTGGAATACACCAGGAGTTGGGTCACTTCATCTGCTTTTGAGACTGAATAACAACATTTACAGTCAGAGGAAATCCAGTTCCACATTTTGGTTTGTTTGTGTTTCAGAGCAAACGGTTGCAGTTTATAAAAAGAAAATAGTTTAGTATTAGAGCTAATTGCATTTTTAATGAACATCCTTCTTTCAACCACTTTTCAACCTTTCACGTGATTGATCGATATCCTCTGTCATTTTCTTTTGCATAGTGTATATGTACTGTAAGTACGGACACATATTTTCTCACTAACCCATAGCTTTTAGGTCTACAACAAATCATTTCTACATTTTAAATCATCTTTTTTAGACAAAACGGCTAATGAAAAAGAATGCTGATACAGTATATCCCCAGTATAAAGCATCAATGCGTTTCATGACAAGGTAGCATATGAAAGCTAAAATGTGCAACTATAGTAAATTTTTAAGCCCAGGAAATATGCCATTAATTGATTTAGGTATCTTGGTATTTGATGAAAATAAATAACAGAAATATTACATTTTGCCTGCAGTATATTTTATATTTGCCAAAGTTATTTCTGTTTACTTTTCATTCGACTGATTTCTCCAATCATCCAACTTTAAACTGACATTGAATTAAGCATCAAAGAATGGATGGGATTCCTTCCTGCTGCTGCCGCCATCTTCCCTTATTTATTTAAAAGAACATTATCCTTGCATACCTCTCCCTTTATCCCTCTTCTTCCCTCTCTGTGTGAGCCAGGAAGTTAAGAGTATCACTCCAGAGGGGAGCCACAACACCGCAGTAATCCCACCCAGATTCTAGTCTCCATTCATGGCTCAGTGCTGTGCAGTGGTTCACCCTAGAGTGACCAGAAGTGGGCTGATCCACTGATCCCCCTGCCTTCCCCACTTTTTCTTTCTCTACCGGACCCCGGGGCCAATCAACAGCTCTTTGTTCACTGTCACTTAACCAATGACTTCTCATGGGAAGAGAGAAAGGCAGCATGGGGTGTTAGTGAGGTGCGACGGGCAGGTGTCATTGCCTCTGAAAGGAGAGGTGGGTGGAGGATGGAGGAAGTGAAGGAGAAACGGAGGCAGTGATAATGAACAAGAGCAAATCCATCACCAACAGATATAACAAACCTATTTTATCTGCTCTCTTACTCTCTCTTATTCCTGCATTCCTGTTCCACTCCCCACATGGTAGCGACGCTGTTGTGTTTTTCTTTGCTGGCCAGTGGAGCTGCTCTGGCTGTCACAGGTCACTGTGGCTGGATGTGTGTGAGGAATGCTTCTGCATGGCTCTACATGTCCACTGAGCACCTCTGTTTCTGCCTGTTTACACACGATCAGGCTTTTTGTCAGTTCCCTTTTCGTTAAAGGTTGCTCTAAAGAGGTTGGATTAAATCAAAAAGATGGAAAACATTGAGAAATATTTGGCAGATACTCTTTACTTTCAATAAAGACAACCAACAAATACAATATCTTGTAGTGTTGTCGGGGTCAAATCCATAGAAAAGTAATATGCTAACCATAATTGTGTTATTCATAAATTCCAAATTGTGATATTTCTTTAGTTTTTTAACCGTTATTCCAGATCTACAAGCTTCAAATCACACTTTGTTCTTGATTGTATACTGTACATATCATATTCTATTACATGTATGTATATAGACTTTTTGCACTACTTTTTATTTTGTATTTTATTGATTGTTGGAGGAGCTCAGTTCATAAGATTGTCATTGCCTTTTTCTACACTGTAGCTTTGTGCATATGACAATAACATCTTTGAATTTAATTGAATTGAACCTGCCACTAAAAACGGGTTTCCCTGTTTTGCTTTTTGATTATTTGTGACACATCTGTATCCTCTATCCTCAGACGAGTATAAGAGTAAGGTGGTCTGCGAGGAGGAGAGGATGAGGCTGAGCTGCAAACGGGGGATGCAGATCGCCGTTTACTCCGCCATGTTTGGCCGAACTCAACAGGGCACCCTGGAGTGTCCCCTGCACCACAGGAGGGCCCCGTCAGTAGGTGAGGCCCCTTCTCACTTTCAGACTGGTGGAGATTTGTCATAGCTTTTAATACAAATTGGTTAGAAATGATTTCTTATTTGTAAATTACATGTCATGTCTGTAAACATTCAAACTGTAAAGTGTAAACTTAATTTTGGCTTGCAAACACATGACCTGTTTTGATTGTTACAAAAGGTATATAAATATGATGGACATAACTGACCTGATACCTATTTAAAATAGTTGAATAATGATGTTAACTTGGAACGTTTTAAAGGTCACCTATCATGCAATATTTAGGCAATAGCATAGGTCTCAGATATATATAAAAAACATGTCTATGAAGTGTTTTGCTCAAAATACCAAACAGATCACCCATTCTAGCCATGCCTCATATCCCTCTGTTTCACTTCCTGTTACTAAAGTGCTGATTCGGGTATAAAGCTTCTTTTTTTTTTAAAAGAGGGGGCATAGCTTAAGCCTGTTCATGCGGGACCCGGCAGATACTGTCTAAAATAAATGCTGCGGTGATGAAACGTCAAAACCACATCAAGGATTATTTCTGAAACATTATGGAGCTCAAAGGCTTTCTCTCTTGCCGGTTTACCACAAGGTGAGTTCCTTTTTATGTCCTGCTTCTTCACACACATGCTCTCTGCAGTACTGGTTAGCTCTGAGTGTTAGCGATGCTTGCTAATGTAAACAAAGGCCATATTACGTCCAAAACACATCGGGCATTGATTCTGATCCACGTGGGACCACCTCGTGGGTGACATCCGATATGATGTAAATAAAGTCATATCGGATGGCAAATCTAGATCAGCTCGTTGTAGCCCTGTTTTTCAGAGATTTGCGCACGGAGGAAAAGAGAGAGGGTTTTATTTTCTGACACTTTGTGAGTTCCCTGACATGCCGGGGACCAGAGATGGAGTACTCGAGTCCTGGATTCGGACTCGAGTGCCGATTTTCGGGACTCGTGACTCGACTCTGACTCGCGCACTGATTGACGCGACTCGGACTTGGACTCGTGAATTCTCGTGCACGATGACTTGGACTCGGACTCGTGAATTCTCGCGTACGCTGACTTGGACTCGGACTCGAGTCCAAGCTTTATATTTGTATAGCACCTATTACAAGAAATGTAGCCAAAGCTTCACAGCAGTTCAATAGACAGATTAGTATAACATGACAGGATAAAAGCAATGTAGTGGAGCAGCTACATTTCAACACATATATCCACGAAGATTAATACATGAAGACTTGTGACTCAGACTTGACATGGACTCTTCTTAGGTGACTTGGACTCGGACTTGAACACAGGTAATGATGACTCGGACTCGACTCGGACACTCCTTGGGTGACTCAGACTTGGACTCAGACTCGACTACGACTCTCCCTTGGTGACTCGGACTTGGACTCGAACTCGAAGAGTGGTGACTCAAGAGTGACTTGGACTCGTGAATTGGCGACTTGACTACAACACTGCCGGGGACACATATTTATGTATAAAAGACATCAAAAAGTGCATTTTGCACGATAGGTCCCCTTCAATTTATTTTCACAAAGGTAACACACTAATACTTAAAATTACAAATCGTTATCCTAATGACGTCAGACTAAGTAGTGACTAAATAGCTTTTTGATTTATTGGATTTCTCACTGAATTAAACTGCACAAATACTTCCAACACATACTGTATTTTTCCATGTGCATATAAATAAATCAAAGTCAAGTTTAACCTCACTTGGGCTTCATTACATTTAGTAAATGGCAGTCATGGTATAGCTTTAGGCTACAGTTACCTCTTCACAAAGTTAATTCCTTTTACTGTATTCCTATCAGTTCACCTTATGCTTAGAGGTCTGGGAAGAGGTGATAATCATATTAACACCAATACTGTTTGACATTATTATGATTCACTCTATTCCTAGCATTAGTCTTTGGGTCAGAGTGAGGTCAGGACGAATGAGATTTTCTTACTTGAAGACACAAGCGGGGAATGCAAATCGAGTCTGCTTGCGTTTTCATGCTGTTAAAAGGTCTTGTCTTGCTAATGTACTTATACATATTAATGATTCAGGAGGAGTAGCATACCAGGCGTTATTATGCATCCAGCAGATGGAAAATGAAATGTTTTAATTGATGAGTTTTACTCGTCAGGGCTCGAGTACCTACAAACCACACAGACAAATACAAACGCTGGCAGCCTCATAACTCCTGGCTTCATGAATTTCTTTAACTTGAGTGATATTGCCTCGAGATGCTGTTGTGGTTTGACAGATTTTATAATTTCCTCTACAGCTTCTCAGTCACAGGGGCTCTTGAGCAAACACTTGCCTGCCACTGGATGTCAACGGTTTACTCTTTCCCTCTGCGATTACTCATTGATAATTTTTACTTTTACAAACATATCACTATTTGGAATTTCTCCATCTTGTTATAAAAGCAAACTAAGATATATAAAACCACCACTTAAACTCGTAGACACACACAAACATGCACACACACATTGCCAGAGGAAATGGGCTGGAATGTAGATCAGGTGTCTCTGTCATCTAAAGCGCAGAGTTTGGCCCGCAGAAAAGGGACAGTATTGAGTTCCCTCGAAGTATGTGTGTGTGTGTGTGTGTGTGTGTGCACACATGTGTGATTACTTGGGATATCCAGATGTACCCTCGCCCTTGTTTAGGGGAATGTTAATGACTCTAAGCTTGGATCCATGACAAGTATTAGCATAACCGTAGCTACCATGGTGGCCCTGGCCTCTGCTGCCGGCTCATTTATTTGGCTTCCACCTTTTGTTTCGTTAATGTGTAGAGGGAAGTGTACATAATGTTGTAAATAAGTAGCCCGAGCAGGTATAAGTTAACTGATGTGTGCTTGAAAAAAGGTGTGTTTTTAGTTGTGAAGGAAGTCTAAATTTGGGATTCTCAATTCCAACAATGCACCACGAACTTGCCCTGAAGTGTGTGTTTGTGTGTGTATGACAGAGGTGACACAAAGGGTCGAAAGTCTGACACAGGCGTCAGTCACCGGGTAATCAGAGACAGATATAAAGAAAGGCATTGTGTGGATGTGTCTGTGTGTGTATTCTATATGAGCATTGAGGACTGCTTTGAAGCAACCTCAGCCGGTCCTCCACTCGCAGGTGGACCAGGAATGTGCGACAGGTAGGTGAGTAAGGGCTGGCCTGAGATCTGGTTTCAGACTCAGGATTAAATACAGTAGCCGAGTTCTCCAAGCATTGATGGAAAATGGACTACTGTTACAGTTGTACAAAGGCCAGATTAGAGCAGAGGAGAAGTTGTGCTTACTGTCAAGTCTCATGTTAACCTTGTGTGTGTTTACAGGAACTCACATGCACACAAACGCCTTGTCGTTATCAACTCTGCCAAAGAGGGTTTTTTGTTTGTATGTCTGGCAGGAGTACAGAGAAACAACTGGCCCTATTTTCATGGAAGAAGGAAGTTGTGCCAAATAACCTCTTTATATTTACCAGTGTATTCCGCATTAAGTGCTTTATTTTTCACTCACAAAAACAGCGTTGGCAGAGGTCTGCGTACTCTGAATGCCCTTCTATTACAGCGTGTTTCTCTATCTCTCTATCCCACACACATGCATACACACTCACACTCCCACTAACACCTCCTCAGGCTGTTCCAGACAGTCTAGTGGAGCCCTGGTGGGATTTCCCCTGTCAGCCACCTCTTTGATGTGGCTCCCGTGTCACCAGGGTCAGGAAGCGAGGGTGTTTTGAGTGACAGTTCAGACACACACCGTTGATTACTTTTTAAATTGTCTTCCCTCTTTTTTGCCCGCCCGTCAAAGTTTGTCTGCGGCCTCGCATGCGTGAGTGTGTGTTTGTGGATAGAATAATTTTGGGCTTGACGGTTTCATTATGCGTAAGTTTGTTTTGAACCTATTTTGATTTTATGTCTCCTAACATGAGTGTTTGATTGCGCCAAAAAAGTTGGTTATAGTAATCTTCCTAAACCGCACCACTCTGGCAAACTCTCTACTGCCTGAGGTGGCTGCACCTGCCCAGTGAAATATGCTTAATGTTAGAAAGACATTACAGCGAGTAGCATCAGGAAATCATTATAGACGATTTATTTTCTGATATCCCTTCAAGCATTTTCCTGACATCTACAAGTTCTGTTTTAGCCAAAGACTAGTGTTGCAATTAAACAGAAGATACCTGCCAAATAGAGTTGGGCTTTTCGACATTAATCGAAAAGAAAGTATCTTTTGGAGGAGGTTTTTACTCTTTTATAGCTTATGAGCAATTCTCCACCATAGAGAGTTGAAGAGAGCCACTATCCGGTTGCGTGTTGAATCCAAAGCCCTTGACAAGTACAACAGACAAAACAAGTGCATACGCAGGCATGTGCGCACAGAAGTAAGACCTCTTTGATGTCGTCTGCTCCTTGGATTTTGGGGTGGGGTGGGAGTAGTGGAGTTGGACAGGTCTTGGCGGTGATGGAGAATCCTCAAAGCAAAGGGGCCTGCTTCAGCCCTCCTCTCTCATCTGCCCCATTACCATCACACACACCTCCTGACATCTAAATAGCCCCCCCATGCTTGGCATCCAGGGTCTCAGACCGCTTCTGTTCTTCTTCTTTTTTTTAAGGCCACTGCGCTTTCACTTTTGGGTTTCCTTTAGACACAGCTAATGTTTGAAACTGAGGCACGAGATGGCTGGTGTCTCATGTGATCACCGCAGCTTTTAAAAGCCCAACAGGCACAGCTGCTGGTCAGATGTAACACTTGGCTTTAAGAAGTCTGTTCCAGTTGTTAGGGTGCAGTCCGCTTCCCTGTAACCCTATCTGCGTTCTCTCTAACTTTGATGCAAACAGAACAGATAAGTAGCAGGATGTTGGTGTGTTTTCGACTAGATTAGATAAAATACGGTTCTGTGTGGTTTCAACCTGTCCTATAGTCCAGCTAAAGTAGAAGAGGATTTCAGTCAGTTAATTCTTTAATGCCAACTTTTTTACTGAACTTCTCTAGAACAACATACCTGATGTTTGTATTACAGCTACCAAGAACATCAGTGTTTTTCAGGATAACAGATTCATGCAAGGTTTAAGGCATAACGTCACTGCTGTTTGGAATTCAGATCTGGTGTTTAAATATATGAAGCTACATGTTCTCATGTATAACACATAAGTGACTCTGATTGAAAAATAGCTTGCTATCAGCTTACAAACACAGCTGAAAATAGTATTTGTATGTGTGTTGTGCTGGACACTAAATATGAATATGCTCTGCTCCTTCACTTCACTGTGTCACAGTGAAATTAAATCCTGCAAATACTACTTTCATAGTAAATGTGTGTGTGGGAGAGCCGTCTCAAGTTCATTAATGGCATTCACAGAAATCACTGCAGTGTGCAGGTCTGTTAGCCCTATCACAACATGTTAGAGTCACTTTTCTCTCAAAGAAAGACTTGTAATCCCACAACAGTCACTTAAACCCACCTATCAAATGATACGTTTCTCAGGTGAGTCAGAGCGAGTGCTTTTTTTTGTCCTCCCATTGTCTTGGAAATTCCAGGGAAGGTGTGCGGGGGTGGAAAACCTGGAGGATTGTTATGAAGCGTAGCTGAGGGAGTTTTCTGGGAAAGGTTGCTGTGTGTGTCTGTGTTTATGTGTTTGCAGGTGTGTCGGGGGGGTTGTGTGTCTGGATGTGTATGTGCTCAGTGGTGTTTTTGTTGGTCACAAGAGCTACTATTTGAAGATGTTATTGTCACGCTGTTTCCTTATGAAATGATAATATTATGTAAGAATAGTTCTGTGGAAACTGGACACGAGCCAATTCTGACGATGTTTTCACGCAAGATGGATGTATAACGGATGACTGATGTGACAAACTGAGCTGAGCAGCCAAGTGGGGCTGCTGGTACGGGGCAGCATATCAACACACACACCTCAAAACATGCAAGATGGATAGAAGACATAAACGGAGGATTTCACAATCTAGAAGTGCTCAGATTTAGCAGGTGTCAGTGACTTTTGACAAGCTGTGGGCGATCAACGGGTCATTTAAAGGAAGGTTTTCGCTTTTTGTCTTATTTCGTTTTCTGTGATCAGATATGAGGGAGAATAAGTGTGTGTTTGTCAATAAAGCTCCTCCCTTTCCATCAGTCACTGCTTCTTCTGACTGTGGACCTTCTCTTCTGAACCATAGGCCGGTCCTTGTTGGCCGCATGGAGGAAAGAGGGTGGCAGCACAGGCTCTGAGGTGGTTGGGGGGCAAAGGTTAGAGGTATGAGGGGTTATTCATGCTCTGTGTGTGTGAGAGAGAAGACTGTGTATGCTTGTCTGTCTGTATTAAAGTCGCTAATGTGAGCCAGAGGAGGTCAGACCCTGAGGAATGCTCTTTTAAACTGCAGAGAAATGTGTGTGTGTATGTGAGCACGGTTGGGCAAAGAATAAATACGTGTGTGTGTCTCCTCCTCTTGTCTCTAGAAGTCTTTATCTATCCCAGAAACCCCCACCAGATCCTCCACAGGCCCCCTGCTCAACTAATCACCCAGTCAGGGAATCAAAGCTGAAGCTAATGGGGGGGGGGGGGGGGCTGACTGTCAGAGAGGAAGTTTTTCAGCGTGGCACACCAGCTCAAACAAGCCCAGTATGAAGAGAAAAAAAGAGGGAGATTAAAGCACATCATTGTGCGGCAGCGTTGGCACATAATCACTGATATAGATACTTACATACAGAGACACACACACAAACATATCTGTACAAGTCATCGACACAAAGTTAATGGTTGAGAACGATAATAGATAAATGAGGCTACATCTTTTTAAGTCAAATATCTGATGTCATGAAACGTGTCTAAATGGCATTAATTGATTTCTTGGCGGGATGCCTCTGTCTCAGTTGTATCTCAGTCAGAGCTACAGTGATTAAAATCATTTGAGTCATTTCTTAAGAAAAAAAATATGCCAAGCTTTTGCTGGTTCCTGTGAGGAATTGAGGTATCCTTTCTCATATATGACAGTGACATGAATTTGTTTCTGACATGAGCAGAGGATGCTCAGCTAAGTGGGATAGTAACCCTATACATTTGCTATAAACATCTCTTGTACAGTTGTTCCACATATTCCTCTATGGTGGAAATGGATGCAGGCACGTATTTGACTCGTTTCTACTGAACTAAAGCACTATGAGGGGTGTGTCTGCGTGAGGTGTATAAAAGAACAGCTGCATTCAGTTCTTTGGAGACTTTCTGAGACGTGCAGCGGGGCACGTACAAAGCACCAGGGAATAAAGTTCCCCGTCACATCCATCATAGTGCCAGCAGCATTACGGAAGTTTCCTCAAATCACTGAAGACTTTTAAGTTCGATATCCGTGAATCCAACCGGTTGTGTTTAAAGTGACAGTGGGAACTGTCTAACCTTTGCTGTGTCTCTGACTGGTGATCCAGTTACACTCACTGGTTCCCACAGGATTCCCTACAAATTGCATCCTGGTTGGGAATTCCAGTGTGTCGGCTCCAGCTGGGGAGTGTCCGGTTGCCCCTTCGAACCGCGTCCGAGTGGACAGACGTTGATTCAGGTTCACATTCTTGAGAAGCTTTGATCTGGTTTTGCCGGAAATAAAGCGTGGTGGTTTGATTATGATTCTTAAAAGTCAATGAATTCCCAATGTTGATACTGTGCATGACCACTGGCTTGCCCTCTTTCGCTTCCATTTGCCCTTTGACCTGTACCATAATTCATTGTGGCCCTTGTGTGAGGAAACCCTTAACCAGCCGGGTCCCTCTACCTGTCTGATCTCTGTCTCTCTCTCTCTGGGGCCCACCGGGGCAGACGGTGCGAGAGACCAGTGTCCACTTTCAAAGGCTCGTCTCCTTGTGTTGTTTTTAGGGGTTAGATGGGCCGTGGGGGCCTGTGAGAGGCATCCGTGTGGAACCACGGCCCATCCACATTCCCACAGGACTCAGCGGGAGGTTCTCCCCACTTCATTAGCGCTCCTCACACCTCAGTTACGAGAGTCACTAAAGTTCACGAGGTGGAATAAAAAATACCGATTTCAGTAGTTAGTGTTGAAGTTTAGTTACAAGAATTACGTGTCTTGTGTCTCTGGAAACACTTTCGCCTTGTAACGCTCACTATAAAAAACACACAATAACACTACACTTTTTTTTAACCGATTGCCTTTTAAAACCTTTTATCAATCATTAGTGTCACAAAATTGCTGGTTCCAGCTTCTCAAAAGTTCTTGTTACTTTCTTCTTTATTTTATACAATGATGAAGTGAATATCTTTATCTCAATATCTCAAGTACGAGCACAGCGGTTCAGCATATCCTCTTCTGAAGTCCCGTTATTAATGTGGGAGAGGAAGGAAGTGAGAGTGGAAAAAGGAAACAGAAGAGCCTCATCTGTCCGGACAGAGGATGAGAGCTGCAGAACAAAGGGGAGCTGGCAGGTGCTTGTGCGATGATGTATGAGAGACACATCCATTACTCTGTCTGGTCCTCACAAACACACATGTTTCTCTATGTGTGTCTAATAGCGCAGTAGACCGTAATTAGCACCAAATGACAGTGTTTAATATTAACCTTCCTAGAAAACATGATTTCACAAAAGAAGGATTTTACAACTAGGTCAATTGCATTACCTTCCATCGGTATGGATGTCTTAAAATAATGCATCACTTCCTGTTCTCCCTCTTCCCGTCAGACTGCCAGTCGTCTGTGGCTCTGCAGGTTCTGACCTCCCGCTGCCAGGGAAGGAAGAGCTGTCTGGTCCGAGCCTCCAGCAGAGACTTTGGAGACCCCTGTTACTCCGGCACCAGGAAGTACCTGAACGTCATCTACACCTGTGGTGAGTCCCAAACACCTTTACTGAGGGCTTCACTTTCCTACCACCAGGGGGCGATGTCCACACACTGATCAGCTTGACTTCAGTCCTGTCTATGACGTTATAGCTTTGTTTTTCAGAAGGACTTGCTCTGAAATAGGCACTGTTTTACTCAGAGAAGAGGTATATCTCTAGGTAGGAATATGATGCTATTGGGTGCAAACTTATAAATATGTTTCTACCAGTGGACTGTAAAGATTAATATAGGACCCCACTAACCCTTTCATGGTAGCCTTAGTAAAAACACTGTGTCGTAGCTATTACTATTATTAATTTGGTGTATGTGCTTTGGCATAAGCATGGATTTAGGGAGAGGGAACCATAATCACTTTGCAGACAATACATGAGTTCTTGTTTTTAGACAGGCGAAGCACTTTATTTAATTAGAGGGAGCTTCAATGTCTCTAAACTTATTTTCACCCTCCAAAGTTTTGAGAAGAAAAACAACTTTGGCGTCATATCTTCTGTTTTGAGCTTTTTGTCTGTGTGGTACAGGGAGAATGATGGTCTTCCTTTTTATCTGTTCCCCGCCCCTGGGCTAATCCTGATCTGTCAAGGCTGTAATTCATTAACCACACACTTCCACACTTCCACACACACACACACACACACACACACACACACACACACACACACACACACACACACACACACACACACACACACACACACACACACACACACACACACACACACACACACACACACACACATACTTGCTATCCAGACATCTCCTGCACCAGGAATTGATCAATCAGCACCGTGGCCTGGAGCCTTTCATTCCCACCAAAATTGCCAGCACACAGATCCAAACGAGGGCAAATGTTACGCCTGGCATTACAATGTGATCTGATTTTAAGGCTTGGATTTGGTAAGATATGTGTCTGTTCCCACTGGGCCTGAAAATGTTGCTTACGGGACTGTTCATTAATCCTGTGTGAATTTGCATTTTCTGCTGTCTTTCTATAGCTCTTTTCGATGCTTGAATTTGCACATGGGCTGAGTTAAAATGCTCAAGTTCTGATCACACTTTATGGCTTATTTATTGTCGTTTTGAAGACCCTCCACCCTGAGTCCATTGTCTCCAGACGCTGTGTTTGTCAGATGTCTGTCGTCCATCCTTTATCTCAGCACACTGACTGCTCAGCTGTGTTTAAGGAGTCTTTGGCTCTGCCTGACCTCCCTTATCTGTCACTGATAACGCAACATGCTCTCCCGACAGCTCTGGTGCCAAGTCGGTAAATGTGTTAGGTATGTAGGATGTGAGATGGTGTAAATGTTCAACATGGCGCTGTGAGGGGCTACAGAGATGGGCTTTCTGCGCTGCGGTGGGAGTGGAGAGGGCTGAACCTGAGTAAATCAGTCTAGCTGCTGTAGACATGAAGTCACTGGTAGCTCCAGGCTCCAGCAGAGGGGTAATTTTGGGGGATCCTCTTTCATTGGTGGTCGAGTGTGTGTAGGATTGACCCCATTTGTGTCGGAGTAGGGGACAGAGGAAGTCTGTCTGCACATGATTGGTTGCATTTCTGTGCGGATTTGTATGCATGTGCAATGTTTTGTGACAACTAAAAAAGTAGTACTTACCGATAGCACAAGATGTATGGACTCATTATCTTGTAGAGGAATTTAAGAGCAATATTTCTTTTTTTTTCAAAAACTGCTTGAATGTGCGTTTATGAATTTCTATACAACTAAATAGGTTAGCATCAACCACTCTGCCTTAACCCACTTAAACTGTTCACTGTCCTCGTTTTAGTGCTATACTTTTAGGGGCCTGCCAAAAGTTGAATAACTTAAGTAACAGTGTTTTATGAGTGTATGTGTGTCTCGGTTGATGTTTGGGTTAGAGTACATGTTTGATTCATATTATGGACTGGAAATCGGCCTTGGCTTGGCTGTGATTTATAAAGCCATCAACCATCCGAGCTCCAGCTTTTTCCTCACACAGCCCCAGGGGTGGACTCACTCCTGAGCAATAACACAGCAGCAAATGGGCCGGAACCAGCCATCAGTCTCTCTGCAGATTACACACACTCCGCACAGCCGCCACTGTCAGGCTCCATTTACATCCTCTCCCCCTGGAGAAGTCCCGATGGTTTGTTTGTGAAAAAAAAGTACTTCACGAGTCCGATCACTGCTGTAAATATTGATTATTGAAGATGAAGTCTTGTAGCATTGAGTTCTGTCTTGCAAATTATGAATAGCCTTAACTTAGAAATATTTACTCTCGGTGCAACTGCTGGAGATTGATGAATGAGTCTGCTCGGGGCACTTTCTTCAAAAAGCAAGTTTCCACTACGGTTCCTTTGAAGTTTCTTTCTTGTAATGCTGTGATTGTTACTTTGTCAGGGTTTGACCTACAGCTTTTGAAGCAGCAGGAATGAAAATGAATCCATCTGTATGTTAAGTCAAGTTCTGGCTGCATGTAGTGTAAGCTTGTCTTGGTCCTATTTATACAGCTTGCTCAACCAGACCTCTGCAGCCCAACAGCATCATCCTTCCTCTGCGTTGTCAGAGCAGAGACACAGCCTGAGGCTTCTGTTTGTCTGTCTTTGAACAACAGCATTAACTTCATTCCACATGATGTGATTTATTGGTTCACACCGATCAAATCTGAGAAATAATCGTTCTCTCCTGGCTGCGTCAGAGCGCAGTCCTTTTCCTCCCTGGAGAAGTATAAAAGCTTCAGACTTTATATCAAGGCCTCTCTCTTAAACTCCCCTCCATGGCTCCCCCTCCAGAGTGTTCAGTGTGGTGTAATGGATCACCCTGAACGAGCCACACAGCCGCTGTTGAACCATGCAGAGCAGACTTTCAGGGGGGATAAGAGGTTATGGAAAGCCTAATGAACGGGTCTAATTTCTGAGGAGGAAATGGATTAATTGCGGCACTTAGCAACTGGTTAACATGGGGTCTGGGTTTGGAGGGGGCGGGGCTTACTGGATGAGGCAATTCAGGCATTTCCAACCTGGGCGTATTTTGAAGCCTCAAGATGACTAAACAAATCCTAAGTCCATTATTATCCTAAATGTGTTTTCTTCCACTATGACTTTCACCTTTATGGCTTTTGGACCGGATGCAAAAACGAATTTATGTAGCAGATGTTTTACTTTCTAACTCATCAGCAAAGTAGGGATGTTCACATTTTAGAAATAGATTGCCCTCTTTAAAGCTTCAAAGTTGATGACAGGACAAATTGGACATAGATTACAAAAATATATTTTTTAATATTATCTTGTGAACCCTATATGTATTCCTGAGACTTCAGGGATGTTTTGTATCTATGTAAGCCTTGTAAATAAAACAAAACACCGGTGATATGTTTTTTAATAACAGACTCATAGGTCTTTTAGAAAAGGAGGACAATATTCACTTTTAACACATTTAAGATAGCGACTTTGCTAATAATTCTGGGCCTTTTTGGTTTACCTGGTTTCAATATACACACAAAACTCTTACTTAAGTACATACAACATAAATATGCTGATACTATAAAATTACAAGTTGCCGAAAGTCACTTTTTGAAATGTTCTAAAGTAACACAAGTGGGTTTTCTTCTATTGTCCGGCAGGACTTACTGCAATTAAATGTCCATGTTATGCTTTCACCACTTATAGGATAGTGCAGGAGCTGCTAACTGCAGGGACTGAAAGAGGTGTGGTCAGTGGAGGAGCTGCTGGGGTTTTTAATGGACACAATCCGAGTGGTGGAGGCTCTGGAGCTGCATGTGGCTCAGGGGGGAGCTGATTTAGATGTCACAGGGGAAGATCGAGGAAGATAAATATGTAATTCACAAGCTTTAGGGTTAGGTTTATCCCAATTGGTAATGCAGACAAACACACAGACACATACACACACATATACATGCACAAAGATACTTGAGGTGCACATGTGGCCGCTGCAAGCCACACACTCCTCCGGCTCCCCTGCACACAGTCATGTCAGCAGAGGAGACTGTGGGAAGATGTTTGTTTTGGCCCGGTTGTGTGGAACTGCAGCCCGTGCAGGCAGAAACTGCTGCTGTTGGCCGTTCTCCTTTATATCTAACCCTAGAGCTGCAGGGCTGAAGGCAAACACATATGATTAGACTGTGGACACTGAAGCAAATGACCACATTTTATTGTATCTATCATGTAACACACATGCAGGTTTGCAACCAGAAAATTATATCGATTCAAATGTTTGAATATTCATATATACTCGTAGATGTATTTAGTTCATTAGGAAGTATATTCTGAAAACCTTTGCTTTGCCCTTTCGATATCCCCTGTTTTCCCTGTTTATCTTTGACATCAACTAATCTATAAAACAAACTAAAATAAATGTAATTTTAACTAATTAAATGTAGATAAACTCTTGATTCATGCATGAATACAAATGTTCAGGGTTTATAAGATTATATTTGATTTAACTTCCTAAAAACGACAGCTTATTCTAAGGTTATTCACATTTCTCGAATCAAAGAAAACACAGTTACCAAATGATGTATGATTCACTTATTATTTATTTTACTCAGGACTGAGGATTTTCCTATTTGTTTCCATGTGTTCTGTCCCTTGACTCCAGAGAGCATCTTTTGATAATAGTGTGATTTAAGAAACCCAAACAAAACACTTAAACTTTTGTTTCCATTCTAAAGCACAGTTGCAGGTATGGCTGGTTATTCCTTTATACTTGTTACTATGTTTCTTGGCAAGCTTTAATTTAACGTTGTCAGCGCTGATTGATGTGATTACGTACGACTGATCATCAACTTGTGATGTTATTGTCAACTTGATGAAGCTCTCCGGAAAAACAGTTTAAAAAAAGTGCAGAAGAGTGCATGTGAGTGCTGATGTGGCTCCTTTGAGTCTGTCACTGAACAAAGTATATTTGTTCTGTCTTGATGCCAGCATTGCCAATTGTGTTTGCTGTAATATGTTGAAGCTTGTTAGTTTGAGAAATAATAATTCCTTGAGTATGTC